TTAGGCATGTCACATGTATTTGTAAAATGCATATTCATGAGGCTAACCAATGAAAGCAGCTTGCAGAGGGAAGGTAGTTGAAGTAGTTCGGAGGCAGCTACTTCCTTTTCAGCAAATGCAATAAAGAGTGCTGTGCGATCTCGTTCTTGAGTGAGTGTCTGCTTATCCAGCAGTTTCAGGTATATATCCCTGATAGGGATGGGTGCCATGATGGCACCGGTTCGGACATAAACGGCAGTAACCAGACCGAAAAGCAGCGCACATTTCGGTGCTTTTTTTTCCTGAGATGTCATACACTTTGAATTATCACCAATCATTTTACGTTTACGAGGATAGTGGGCGGGTCCAGGTACGTACATTCTTTTAGAGCAGAGCTACAGATTAAAAATGCCCAAGGTGAAGCAGTCAAAGTCTTGTTGTACTTCACAGCAAAAGATGCAAACTCAGCAGCCTGCAACAAGTGCTTTAAGCTGATACTGTGATACTATGCAAAGGAGGTCACACCTCAAATCCAATGAAACACCTGGCAACGCATAGCGGTTTTTTTAAAAGCCGAAAAATGCGTCGTATTTGATAGCTTGCTGCGAGACCTCACACCGAGCGCATCTACTGCGGGTGTGGTGCCTGTTATCGGACCCGGAGTTAGCAACATCCCCCAGAAACCCGAAGAGGAGAGTCCTGGCCCCTAGCCCTGCCAGTGTAGCAGAAATGATGAGGATGATGATGCAGCAGCAGCCGTTCTTCTCTGCGTAGCTTAATGTTGTTCGTGTGTAATTTACGTTGAGTAGGCTAACCACGTTATTACATTAATGCATGTAAGGTGAACTAGCAAACATCATCATAGCTACATGCGGCTGCCTTATTGTTTGATGGCAGATACTCCCTTCACCCTGGCCAAAAAGGCTAAAATGACCAAAGACAAAGTGGAAAACAGCTAAACATGAGAGGTTTTTGGACAAAGTTTGTGTTTTTTCCATTGTTTAAGCACTGCTTCCAGCCAAGAGTGATACCATATATGCCCTATAGCTGCAGAAAAGGCTAACATTGTTATCTTTTTACAAAAAAAAAACAGCTGAACATGAGAAGTTTTTGGACCAATTTTGGGTTCTCCATTCTTTAAGCAGCGGTTCAAGCACCGTTTAAGCACCGGCACCGTTTCAAAAGTACCGGTTTGGCACCGGTATCGGATAAAACCTAAACGATACCCATCCCTAATCCCTGATATTTAATTGGTCCTTCGAGGCGGATGTGGGATCTTAGTTCGCCGAGGAGGGGAACGACGGGCCGAAGCCTGACATCAGCCAGGACCTTAGGTGGCCTGTAGAGAAGTTCCAGGACGTAAGGTTTGTTGCTGGGCCAGTTGTATAGTGTCTGTCTCCCCCTCGACGGGCACGGATCCACACTTCCAAAGCAGATCTCATCTGGGAACAACTTTGTATGACTATACTTTCAGTTTCGTATATACGGAGTGTAGTTGGGAACTACTTAAGTCTCTCGGGGAGAGCCATGATCGGGGATCGTGAGGCCCAGTATCGGGCACACATAGAGAAGGGGCCCATCACCGAGGGTGACATAAAAGCCTTTACCAACGTGCAGGGTAAAGCTACATTCAAGGACTGTGTGGAGCCTCGTGTCAGGACACGCGAAGGGAGGCTCGTTATTGACGTCAGAATGGGCCTGTGTGTGTGCACGGGTGTGAGTGAGTCTGATTGTTGTTTTGCATGCAGTCACTTCTAAGCTGATGAGCAAGCTACACATTTTCAGAGCAGGAGCTGCTTGAGAACGCATCAGAGGGAGGGAAACAGAGCTATGATTACTCGAGCATGCAGCTATCTGTGAGTTCAATTTCTTCCTCACACGTTCGATATAAAAAAATTAATCGTTTCATTTTACGCTATCGTTTGTTTAGTGGTGTCACAAAATAAACGTTTGCAGAAATACTTTTTCACTGTTTTGATGGTCACTGTAGTGGCTATATTAATTTCTTACAGTTCTCTCTTTCTCTTATATTTAATATAACCACACTTTTTATTTTTGTTACTTTCACAGTGCACTGAAATTTTAGTTTGATAATCTCGCCATCATTTAAGCAGATCTGAACAATTTGGACTGAAAGAGTCCCTGGAAGTAGGGCTGTTCGATATAAGGATATATATCGGATGACGATATAAAAACGTCTATCGTTTCATTTTACGCTATCGTTTGTTTCATGGTGTCGCAAAATAAACTTTTTACAGCAATATTTTTTCATCGTTTTGATGGTCACTGTAGTGGCTATATTAATTTCTTGAAGTTCTCTCTTTCTCTTATATTTAATATAACCACACTACGGACGTTGTCGTTAGCAACAACGACGGTAACACCATCACGTGTCCGCTTGTTTATGTTCCACATAAACCTTTCACAATAAAGCTCAAGATCCTGTTGAGACTTTTCAAAATAAACTGAATCACGTGAAAGAGCAGATTATTTACGGATGAGAAGTAAAAAAGAGCCGACAGGTGATAAAAAATAAACCTTAGACTGAAACGTTAGAACAGGCTTTTCCCCGCAGCACGCCGTGTAATAAATACTCACAAAGAAAACGGTGGCCATTCCAACTTATGTCTAAAAATGTATAGTTTCATGCATCGGTTGCATTTGTTTACCTTTTAGCTAAACCACTTGTTCAGCTAACTGTTCAGTCAGGGGTCTCTGCACCTTCTGACCCTGCATCTGTTCCTACTGGAGCCTCAGGAGAGGCCATCCAGTACGCTCCCACGCCGCCATCTGTCTCCGTTGGCAGTTCAGGAGAACTGTTCCAGCTATCTGTCTCATCTTCGCCAGAGGTCCGTACACATGCTGGTCCTTTGTCTGTTCCCGCTGGGGGTTCTGGAGAACTGCGCCAGCTGTCTGTTTCCCCTGGGGGTTCGAGGGGCCCAGACATGCGTCTCCGTTGGAGCGTCTGAGGAGCCGCTCCAGCCATCTTCCGTCTCCGTTGGAGGCTCCGGGGAGTCCATGCAGCCAGCCCTGGGTCAGCTTCCTGAACTGCCTGTGTGGATTCGGTTTTGGTTCTGCTCCAAAAAACATTTGGCAGAGGTGGAGAAAGCTCTTGGTGTTACTCATCTCTGAAGCATTTTACCATCCAGCATTGCAGGGCATTGTAAAAAATGCTAATCGAACTTTCAAGAGTAAAATAGCCAAAACAATATTTGTATATAAGAAAAGACATGGCCGATTTGTCACATCCAAAATGGATTTATGTAATAGCAAGAACTCGTCCACGGGACTGTTTTTTTTTTTCCTTGAAGGTAGTCAATCAGTAAAAAGTAGAATACAACTAGTAAGGGCATATGTTATTGATGTCTCAAAAAAGAAAGACAAAATTTAACTCATTGAGTTTAACCCTGATAGATCCAATTATAATGTACCATTATACCCAGAAGATCGAGAGGAATTTAAATGTATACTAGCTTTGCATAGTCAACACATGACTGATAACTGTTCTGTCCTGAGCTTTTGTTTCCTATAGCACCCGACTTGACCACACCATCAGTTTTCACACCAAACGAGGGTAATTATACATGTCTGACACGGAGGAATCTTACCAAAGTGGGAGAGATAAGCCCTGACTGGGGTAACAACACAATGAATGTGACTTTATGGTCAAATTCCTCAAGATTTTGATATCATGGGTAGATTTGTTTTGATATTGTGGAGGGAAAAGGCTGTTAAATTTCCTCCCTAGTATCTGGTTAGGTACCAGTTGGGACTGCCAGTAACAGTTATAGGACATAGGCAAAAGGTACAGCAGTCCAGAAATCTAAGTAGACAGTCTATATTAGACAATTTTGATCTTACACAAAATTCTCCAACATGTATGGATGCAATGGGAATACCGAGAGGAGTTCCAGATGAATATAAACTGGCAAACCCAATAGTTAACAAGTTTGAATCCACAGTACTTTGGTTAACACCCAATAAGATTTCTTGATGCATGCGCAATCATCCAGCTAAGTAGATTCCAAAAGGTTGATCCTGTACATCTGTTTTCAGTGGGAGAAACGTTTCAGCACTTATCCAAGTGATTTCTTCAGTCTCAGCTGACTGCAGGTTTCCCCAACCTCATAAACAGTACATTTGCACAATAACTGAAACAAGCCCACTGAAAGAACAATGGACTGTGAGGTCAATTCCTTGACCAAGGAAATTTTGCTTCTGGTGTCCAGGTGCCGAGGCATTGCTGAGCTTGATAAAACAGTGCACATTTCCTCTTCAGTGACTGATGCTACTGATATGGGCAAGCTGCTATGCGGATGTGAGGAAAAGATAGATTCTAAGTGACTATCCAGCGCATCCACACTTTTACTTGCAACAGGATTTTGTCCACAATTGTTGCATTTAACAGAATTTAGGTAAAAAAAAGTGTTCAAAGACAAACTTTGAAAGAGATCCACAAACACAAATATGTACATATACAGAATTTATTTGATGTTTATATATTATTTGAGTAAAATGTTGCAATAGTGATACAGATTACATGTGTGATATATATTGCCTGTCAATTTAAAAATTATACCATTCCATAAATTTGAGGGCATTTAAAAAAAATGTAAATAGTCTATGGTAAACATATCTAGATCTAAACATGATGTGCATATGTGTATGGTTTTTTTTTTTTTTACTTTACAGCAAAGAAATAGTTTACTTTAAAAATATACACTTACCTAAACTTGATTCAGCCTTAAACTTACAGATGTAGCCAGGTGACAGGTCATTTATGATCTTGTCAAAAATCCACACTGTAATTGCATTAAAATGAAAAAAAAAAAAGATTTGCAGTTCAGTAACAGACAGATGTCTGCACTCCAGTTACACTGGTAGAAAAAAAAAAAAAAAACGAAAACATGGGCATATAATATTCTGAGAGTCCGGATTACTGAGAGAACCTTCAGCTTTATTTACACCCACTGCTGCCCGACTCATTTCTGCTGCTAAAAGAGTGCTGTAAACACAGAGCTTTAATCCAAAGACTGATCAGTGCACTGAGTAATTTGGCCACCTGTATCATCTGCCAGAGCCCTCGTATAAACTCCCATCAGACCTTGTTTAAGCCCATGCTTCATTTTTAGCCCCATGCAAAAGTAAAGCAGTGGGTTCACACAGCTGTTAAAGAAGGCAATGCTCTGTGCTACAGTAAACCAGATTTTCAGCACAGCATTATCACCATTGATCATTCTCACAAGTTGGAGGCAGTGATAAGGTGCCCAGCACAGGAAGAAAGCAATGACCAAACATGCTAGTATACGCAGAGACCGGGACTTTGCCACCAAACGGGTACGTCTGATGCCCACACCAGCCAGGATGTAACAGATGAGAATGACCATGAAGGGAAATATGAAGCCACACAAGAAACGGATGGAATAGAGAGCAGCTTTGGTGCTGTTGTGAGCCTCTTCCATCTTTTTTGGGTTCATAGAACATTTAGTCAGGTTGTTGTCGTCTATGTAAGTTTGTCGATGGATGAAGTAGGGAATGCTGAAGAGGATCGCTGCAATCCAGACGCAGACTGCTATCACCCTCGCTGTCCACAGGGTGCGTCGACGCTTTGTGAGGACAGGCTGCCAGATGCAGAGCACTCGATCCAGACTGATCACAGCCAGCAGGAACACAGAGCAGAACATGTTGGTGTATTTGAAGAAGCCATAGAACTTGCAGAGGAAGAGGCCAAAAGGCCAGTGGTCTGACAGGAACAGCCGAGTGAGGGCGAAGATTCGTGTGAAGCAGAAGATCAGGTCTGCTATCGCCAAATTCACCAGCCACACATTGGTGATCGTCAGCTGTTGACGTAGAAGAAAATAAAAGATGGAAAAAAGAAGAGAGTAAAAAACTAGAAAATAGTAAGTAACCTGACTGGGATCATGTTATCTATGGAGATTTCTTTATGTCAAAAGCTGTGCATTAAAAAAACATATAACCACAAGCAGATAACATCACTTCAAAGGTTTAGGTATTATTACCACATATGAAGTTAAATTTCTTGTGTGTCAGTTCAAAAACCTGCATGTATAGAACTCAACCACAAGGAAGCCATTGCACACCGGAGTGTCTGCTTTGCGAAAGCTACAGATTAATGCTCTCAGGTAATGCTAGTTTTATAAGATAGGACAGCCAGACTAAGCCTGGAGGCTTCCTGTGAAGCAAATGAGGATTCAGAGTCACCTGATCAAACGCTAACTGTATGCTTATATAAGCAATCTTGAAAATCGAGATTTTTCAAGGTCTTATTCAAGATCTTGTATTCAAGAAGAAGGATTTTAAAGTAGGTTCTGGATTTAACAGCGAGCCAATGAAGAGGAGTCTGTATGGGACAAATGTGCTCTCTCTTTCTAGTCCCTGTTGGTATGTGTTTGCATCACCTCTGAAAAGCTGCTTCTTCAATAAGCTTCTCGTATGATACAGGAAACATCTTCAACTTAGTTAAAAATGATCTGTGGTTGCAAATGTCATCCTAAGTTAGTCAACCTGTTACTTTTTACTGTAAAAGGATGTATTTTGGTCCATTCTTAACCCCAAACAAGTATTTTTTATACCTAAACCTGAAAGATAAGGTTAGCCGCAGATCAGGAGGTGGTTTGATCCCTGGCTGCTCCAGTCTGCATGCCAAATCTCTTTAGCCAAGATATTAACCCCAAGTTGTTGTTTTCACTGAGCTTTTGTTAAAAAGACAAATGGCAAGCTCAGAAGGCATTTGAAACATATTATACTTTTGTTTTTTTTATATCCACCTTAAGTTTGAAGCCAGCCACCCAGATCACCATGGAGTTCCCTGTGATGCCGAGCACAATGGTGAGCATTAAGAGGACGATGGTGACATTGTGCACTATGGAATTGATGCCCACAGTAGTTGCCTGGTCATCCTCAGGTTTGAGAGTGTCGGTGAGCAGCGAGGCATTAGGAAACATTGTGTGCTGAGAAAGAAAGAACAGAAAAAGTGCAAAATGTTACTCAGCATGAATCTCCTGAGTAAACAGTGTAGAAAATCATTTAATGGCCTCACTACCTCAATCAAAAATACTGAAATTCCTTACCGTGTTCCCAAACTGTTTCGTTAAAGAGAAGGGGAATACAATTTGAGCTGGTAGTTAACATTAAAACATCCATGTACAACATTAAAAAGGTTTTGCTTTTCTGGATGTGGAGTGAAGCTGTGGAACAGACTGGGGGAAGAAATATTCAAGCATATTTCAGTTTTAAAAAGTGGTTCAAAAATAATGATTTGCAAAGTACAAGGAAAAGGGCTTTGACTGGATGTTCTCATCAACTACACACCAAGTTTGTGTACACGTGTACGCATGTGCATATGTATACATATGTAAATATTAAATATGTGTAGAGCTCATGGTGGGTTACTGCGGTTATAAAACCAAATACATGTAACACAAGAAGAAAAAGTGCTGATTAGCAGTCAGTAAATAGGGGAAAGGGGGTGGGAGCTTATGCTAAAGCCTATGATTCTTCCCACTTCTTTGTGTGTCACAGTCCTGGGTCTTTGACCTGCTGATTTTGTATCCGGACTCTTTGGATTGTGGTTTATTCAGAGATTTAGTTTGCATTCCTGGTTTTAGGTCTTATTTTTGTGTTTCTGTTTTGTGTACCCCCAATCGCAGTGTCAAGCCCGTGTTTCTTAGTCTTTGTCTCCATGGTTATTGTACTTTGTCTGTTGTTTTGACAGCCTTTCATCCTGTGTTCAGCGTGTTTAGTTTTGCTTTGCCTGCTCTTAGTCCGTATTTGTTCCAGCTGCGTTCCCTCCTGTTTCCCATCCTTTTGTTATCCTGTGTGTATTTAAGTCCTCTGCTCATCCTGTCATCCCTTATTTGTTGTGTGTGGGGTTTTTTTGTACACCTTGTTTCCTCAACACAGCCGTGCATGACATTTTGAATATTTTACGGCATTTATTATCATTTTGTTTTTGCTATATTATTTTAACATGTTTAAATAAAGAAACATAATTATGTACATAATATAAGGTTTTGTCTGTGAAGGTTCTCAGTCATCCAGGTCATCGCAGTCTAAGGAGCTTGGAAAAAAAGCATCTAGACTTCTTTAAGTTTCTTGAAGACGTTTCACCTCTCATCCGAGAAGCTTCTTCAGTTCTAGGGTCAAATGGTGGAGAGTCCCAGATTTAAGCTCTGTGGGAGTAACCCACCTAGAGGGACAAAGGACCCCCTAATCATCCTCTACCTATATCACATGAGCCAAGGTGTGAAAAAGGGTGGTGGGAGTCAAAGAGGAGGTACTGGTCCGTATGTGTGGGCTTACGGTAAACTTCAATGGTGAAGCTTCCATTGTCTTCAATGCGCACGCCGCAATCCAGGAAAAGCAAACAGTTATCCTTTGTGTCTTCTCTGGTGAACTTGATGGTTTTTATCCACAGCGTTGATGTGAGCAGTGAAGGATTCCACTTCTTGTCTTTTGATTTTGACCCAAGTGTCGTCTACATATCTGTACCAGTGGCTGGGTACTCTCCCTTTAAGGAGCCAAGAGCTTTTCTTTCCACTTCCTCCATGTAAAGGTTGGCTACAATAGGTGACACCAAGTGAAGAGAGAGACTACATCAAAGGTTTCATCTGAATCCAGGGTAAGTTTCTGGACCTTGTCGGTGAAGTCGGTGGAGTTCTTGATGTGATGTGGGGTGTTCCTCACAAGAGGTGCAAGGATGGTAGCAAGGTGTTTCGAAATGTTGTAAGTGGCTGAGTTTATGCTGCTAACAATGGGTATGACTGTCCTCAGGTTTGTGTTCTTCTCTCTACAACACCAACTGTCTGCCATCTATAATCCAGTTTTGAGATCCCTTCCCAGACGCCGTAACGCCCACTCACATCCTGGGCCATCTGACCTCAGGAAATCACATATGGGGTGGGGGCTAGGTTTCACAATGAGCTCACCCAAAACCTTGGCTGATTGTGAACTACACCCATTTTCACACCTTGACTCATGTGATATAGGTAGAGCATCATTAGGGGTCCTTTGTCCCTCTCGGTGGGTTACTCCCACAGAGCTTAAATCTGGGACTCTCCACATTTGACCCTTAGAACTGAAGAAGCTTCTCGGATGACAGGTGAAACATGTTCAAGCAACTTAAAGAAGTCCAGATGCTTTTCTTTTCCAAGCTCCTTACACAATATAAGGTTTTATGTATCAAGATTTCATCAGAATAATCCAGCCATCAGTGGGTCCTAAAAGTAGCTCAATACAACCGGAGATGAACTACAAAACATATTGCATGTATGATGCAGCTGAATGAGTGTGTGGAGGGGGGAAAAATAGAAAGAGGGTAAGTAGCACTTCATAGGAAAAGAGCTGTTAAGTGTGTTTTCTATTGGGAAACAAAGCTGCTGCAGTTAAAGGCAAAACAAACAACGAACGATTTGACCATACAGTTTACAAGATGAGAAAACATGTGGTTTTCTGTCCCTACCAACCACTCAAATTAAAGTTTACATCCATATCTGATCAGGTGTCACTATTATAGATTAAACTGAAGACTCTAAAGAAATGGGACAAAAATTTGTTTCACCATATCAGTGTCTGTGAATGTATTATATGTTTTTTAATAAACCTGTTATGTTCAGTAACTTTAGCAAGCAGAATTATGGTTTTAATGCAAATTAGCAAAAAAGATGTGATAATAAAGAAAGAAGAGAAAAGATTTTGGCTGGAATAACACATTCCAAAAAATCTTTTGGCAACTTAAAGACAGAAAAAAAAAACCCCACAAAAGAAACACACAACTTTGAGAGTGCCTCTCTGTTCACATAGAAGTCTGACTGCTGACTAAACTAGAGTGCATCAAACCTCTAACGGCCTCTCCTGTGGCTTATATTAGTGACTGAGCTAATGTTTCTTCCCAGAAAATCTTCTGAGTCCTAATGCATGATCAGACATATGTTATTTTTCCAGTTTTTTTTAAAAGTGTGTTCTGTTAATCTATAGTTTAAATTTTCACATCTTTTTCTTTTTTAATTGTAAAATTCTCTTCTGTTGTGTGTACGCTGTCTAGACTCCATTGAAGACATTTCTGAATACATTTCTCTAGAAACAAGCTCTAAATTATTTTTTTCTGTTGTTTTATATTATTTTATTGATATTTCTGATTTTATTGTGAAGCACTTTGTGATTTTTATATATAAAAAAGTGATATATAAATAAATTGTACTTACTTATGTGTTGTTAATAAAATGTGTGCCAGACTTCAGTCAAAGAGTAAAAACACAATGTCTCCCCTGGTCAGGTTAGGCTCCTGGTTGAGCACCATTTGATGACATAACATAGAGTGAAAAAATATTTTAAGCAGGAGAAATAGGCAGAAAAAAACATACTGTTAATAAACACTACAGTAACTGTAACAAATGTTTGTCTTAATGGAGGAATATAAATTGAGAAATTTGACCAAGATAAAGTTTTTTTTACCTGAAATGCTGAACTGATGTTAGAGCCGAGGGGAGTTGCTTCAGTCTCAGTGGTCAAAGGCAGAATTGAAGATGCATCCGCTCATGTTCATCTGTGCCGTGGTTACGTCAAGTTCGGCTATTATCTACTGTCTGTCACATTCGAGTACTCTATACACATGCACATCACTTCCTCTATTTCTTCCAATCATGTGTTTGGCTTTATCTTCCTTTTAAGAAATGAGCTAAGAAACCTTCCTTTCTGCATGCATACTGGTTTTGTTTTCTTTTATTTTTTCCTGAACACAACTACATTCACATAACCTCCTTGGTTATCAAACACACAGCTGTTCAAGCATAGATACTGCCAGAGGTTGCAGAATTAAGATCCAAATGCATAAATAAATTATTAAAACATAAGCCCCTTTTTCACAGCTGGCACAGAAGCCACAGAATACAAATGCACACAAACAAAAGAAAACAGAATCCAGAACATAGAAAAGCACACTAGAAGGGGAAAACAGGATGCAGGACAACAGCAAAAACAGGGCGTAAATCCTCACACTGATGCGAAGTGGTGATGAGTGTGTCTCATCACCCTCTGATGAGACACATTACCTTATTATTACTGTATTTATTTATTTTTCTTCCAGTGATGTGTTTGCAACATTATTGAGTTTTGATTTTCCTTTTAACCTCATGATTTTCCAAGAACTGAATTTCACATTTCTCTGTTTCAGTTCCTATTTATTTGTATGGTGTATTTGTATGGTGACTTTCAGTTTTTTTGGCTTAGCTGCCTCGGTTGTACTACTGTTGGGGTGGTTATAGCTCTGGAGTAAATAGGTCATCGACCAATCAAGTGCTAGTAAGCCTAGTTAGTATTCTTATTTGTTTTGCTGTTGTCCTTCCATGTTGCCCTCTCAATTGGTGTTTTCTTTTTCTTTTTACTTTTTTTTTTTTTAAAGATGTAATAACTGACACCATTTGTGGTTTTAGAATTTGGGAAATGATTTTTGGTATCAAAAACTGCTGCGCACATCTGATCAGTTGTTTGTCATTTACATGTCTTTATCATTGCTGTTTCAGAGAAATGGCTCTTTTTTTTTTTATCAAGGAACCATCTTTTCAATGCTCTGCAGTTAAGGGGGAAAACAGAAAGTAGGCTGCTCATCTCAAAAACCGTCTGCAGAAATTCTTCAGAAAAGCAAATAGCTTTTAATGCAACACCACCAGTTAAAACATTTTTCAGATTGTATTTTTAAGTGTGTGGAACTGGAGCCAGATTCTTATTTTGTTAACTAGTAAATATGTGCCAAAGCATTTCATCCATTTTGAGAAAAAAGTAAATTAACCGTACAGAATCCAAAATTTAATTTCCTCACATATAAAGTTTTACATAACCAGGCCCCATCTTATCTTATAGATCTCAAAGCATCATAGTATCTAACATTTCATTTCTTTCGGACAGCAGGCTTACTAGTGTTTGTTCGAGATAAGTGATCCATTAAATA